CTTAAAGAGGGTTGGACTCTTTCACTTCCAGTATCGAACATCACAAATGCTAAGAGCTGTAATATTTAGCTCCATGTCTTTTCTCAAAATGCTTAATCCCTAAATGGGAGGAGTATGGTCAATACGTATCTAAGCTTATAGTCTGTACCATTTTCCATGTTGTTAAAGAAAACTTGTTTACTATAAGGTGATAAAGAATAGATCCCCAGGGATTCTGTTTTAAATACTTTACGTGGTAAGCTCTGAACCATTAAGGTACTACTGTGTATGATAGAAAAAAGTTTTTGCATTTAAAATCCTAACTAGGGTCTGTTCTAAACTGTTGCTGCAGTAACAGGGTTGTCAAAAGAGTTAATGTATGAAATGTGCTGAGAAGGATAGTGTTGACTAATTACATCTTCAATACATAATTACTATAAAACAATCCTAAGGATGTTTTGTTCTTGTAGGTGAGAAGTCTTATGAATTTAAAGTTAAGGAAGAATCATACAAACAGGAAATTACTCATTTAAAAAGAAAACTTCAGTGGTACGCAGAAAATCAAGATCTTCTGGATAAAGATGCAGCCCGTCTTAAAGATGCAAGAAAAGAAATCGAGAAACTAAACCTAGAGGTGATAATATCTAGTTTTATTGAAATTGGAACTTAAAATTATTTCTTTTCTAGTGATAATGTAATTCTGTCCTTCATTATAATTCAATTCTTCTCAAGAAAAAAACATGTAAACTCTAACCTTTAAATCCAATGTGGAGTCCTTACATGCAAAATTGACACCACTGCATATGCAGGGAGAGTTGCAAGTGCAGAATGCTTAAAATCTAGTTTTGCTTCTCTTGGACATCTTGATGGTGGTTGTGGAAACAAGTATGTGTTTCCTTAAAACCTACAAATTTCTTTACTAAGAAAAGAACGTAATTGTTACATAAGCAGTTTGGAACATTCCTCTTGTCATTCTTTTTTCCTCCTTTTTACTCCATGGTAGCATAGACAACACTTACTTTTCCTCTTAAATACCAGTTCTAGATTTTCTTACAGAAATTCTCTGGATGCTGTAGTAGGGAGGAAAAAGCCAAAAGCAACAGCCAGGGAACGAGATCCCTTAAACACCACAATATCAAACTTTGATCAACATATCATTGCTGTGAAAGAAAATATTTTTATTCACATTTTCTCCAAGATGGACTGGTGTTTAAAAACAATGAAGAGCTTTGACTTCATAGAAGCAATCAAATTAGTCAAACTACACTGGCATAAAAGGATTACTTATGCTTACATTGCCAATGTGCACGAGAAATCAAAAAATACATATAGATACACACAATACCCAAAAATCCAACTATACAAAGTGTAACGTCCTGTACAGTGATCATAGTGACTGATAAAGGTAGGAAATTCAATTTTAGATTAAGGCTTTGAGACTTCGTGGCCAGACTTTGTGGGAGTGCAGGACCAGTAGCCTAGCCAGTTCCCAGGACTATCCCTTGATCCTGGGAGTCAGCATTTATTTAGGCACAAGTTAAGATTGCTTTTTGGCTGTTTCTGTATCTCATCACAGAGCATAGCCTTGCAAATCACAAACTATTTCCTTAACTCACCCTGAGTTCATGTAATGCACTGTAGTACTTTATGTTATAGCTTACTAATCAAGCCAGCATACTGGAAGCATGAGAGAAGGAAGCAGATCTGCAGGTCTGAAGACAAGAATGTCTCAGAGCTAAAGGTGTCTTCTAGAATTCCATAGCTTATTTCAGCTCATTTGATCTTAAATGGGTTGAAAAAGCTGTAACTTAGTTGAAGAACTTGAAGAATCAATTAGTGCAGAAGTTACTATTATCAGTTTTTAAGCTGCAGAATACTTCCATTATATTGTGTGTGTTTGAAATTCTTACTTTCGTACTACAGGACATGTTTCTGAATATTTATTTCAATTTATTTTCTCATACATTGGATAGGTTGAGAAGCTCAGAGCTGAAGCTGGAGATCAGTGTGTGCAGCAGAAGAAACGTTTGCGAGACAGAGCAGCAGATGCTAAAAGAATTCAGGATCTTGAGCGACAAGTATGCAATAATAGAACTATATTTCACTTAAGCTTTATTTCAGATAAATCGTATAGTCATAGAATACCAGGTTGGAAGGGACCTCAAGGATCATCTGGTCCGAACTTTCTTAGCTTAAGCACAGTCTAGACAAGATGGTCCAGCACCATGTCCAGCTGAATCTTACAAGTGTCCAACACTGGGGAATCTACCACTTCCTCAGGGAGATTATTCCAGTGGTTGTTTGGATTCCTGCAAGATTAATGAAAACTGGGGGAGTAGACACTTTAAAATACATGTTTCTACTCTTTCTACTGAGGAAAAGTAAGGTGGTAGGGGGCCTTTCTAAATTTTAGGAGATGACAGCTGCATTTGGTAGGGATGTAGGAAAGAGCCTCTGCAAGTATTCTAATGCAAAGAATATCTTATCCATAGATAAGAGGGGCTTGTTAATATTCTTGCATGCAAGGTGTTAGTTTTATTGTACTGCAGACTCCAAAATAAAAGGCATATAATCTGTTATTGGGAGAATAATTTCAATATTGTTAAAAAAAATCTCTGTAACAGTTGGAAATCTAGAATGTGAATATAAGTCCAGGAAAAAAAGCAAATACTTTAACAGCATTAAGAGCCATATACAACTTGATTACTAAGAAAGTAAAGATCCATTTGACATAAGACAGTCTGAAGACCAGAGCAGTATTTTGTTTAAAATGATGTATAAGTCAATCAGTAAGAGATGATAAGTTTTGCTTTTCTGTAAACATAGCATAAGTGTAAACAACATAAAAAATTTCTCAACATACATATCTCTAGTTTTTGTTCTTTTCTCCCTCTCTCCCTCTCTCCCTCTCTCCCTCTCTCTCTCTCTCTCTCTCTCTCTCTCTCTCTCTCTC